TTGCGATACATGAGTACTATATATCATATGTGATTATACATGTATGTATACGTGTATGTGTAATGTGTATCTATAGTGTGTATATATATACGTGTATATGTGCACACGCTATGTATTCGTGTAACGTGGGTGTATGTAGTGTAAGTGTGTGTATATGTGTAAATGTGTACGCGCGTATTTCGTGGTCTCATCGAGAAACATTGGCGAAAGCAATGCCAACGTTCAAAAGGATGAGAGAGAGAGAAAGAGAGAGAGAGAAAAGAGAGTTATCGAGAGAATCGTTCAACGAAAAAGCAACAGCAAAGATCAAACAACGATCGTCGTATTATTCGTTTTTACGGACTTACCCCTTTTTCACCCTTATTCACCATTCCTCTTCATCTAACCTGTATTCCTCTTTCTTTTCGATAAAAATAGCGATCGCTTTTATTCGAAATTCCTTTTATTTTCATCGAATGTTTTGTATCGTTCGATAAAAGATACGAAATGTAATTGAATTCAACGAGAGAGATTCTACTACGTTAGACAGACTCATTTCGATACACGAGATTTTTATCAATAGAATTTTCGCGGATTTGAGAAAAATCTATCGTACGGGCATTGATATGGATCTCTATAGATAAAACTTTGCGATACATTTCACGGCTAGTTTCTTTCTTTCTTTTTTTTCCTTTAACGGAAAAACAACGAAAGTGATTTTCTATCACGTTTTCACATATCACATGAGGTGCGAATGAAACATCAATACGAGAAATTCCTAATATACGTTATGTATAAAGTCAAATTCATCCTACATGTAATTATCTTACGTTCTACCTAGAATATGTTGTGATAGTACTTGCATAACTACTGAAACGACAATGATACAAGTGTCCATAATCGATAAACCAATCTCGTAGAGAGCGATATCAGGAAAGGGAAGTTTATTGTCGTCGGCGAAGATTAAATCATAGTTTGCGTTAGCCCAGAACAGTAATATCCATAAATGTGTGTACCCGGTAGCAACACAGAGCAAGCACGTTGTTACATGTGGCGAATGCCACAAACCCGCCATTGTTTGCAATTAAATTCAATCAAATTACACGTACGAAAATGAATAATTACAGAGTACATGAAAGAGAAAGAGAGAGAGAGTAACAGAGACAGAGAGAGAGAGAGAGAGACAAAGAGACATAGAGACAGAGAAAGAGAGAAAGTGGAGTAGATAGACAGAGAGAGAAAAGGAAAGAGAGAGAGAGAGAGAGAAAGAAAGAGAGAAAGGGAACATCGCCAGGGGGTGATTCTATCAGTTTGGCTGATGCGTGTGTGCATCTTTCGCCTTCGGGATGCTCGTGCAAATTGGACGATCGAATTACGGTAAGCCCGTTCGTTTGTTGTTCGTTTCTCGTTTCCACTCGGGTCAATGTGTATTCTCCTCGTGCGTTCGCGTATTAATACGCGTAATATGATTCGAGTTATTCTCCGGCAGTGATCGCATGTGAAATTCAAAGTGCTTGAAAGATTCGGTCGCATTAGTGGGTTGAAATCATTAGAACGTGACATTATCAACGTTTTCCACATGAGATTATATACCCACGTAGTGTATATTCTTTTTATTCAAATACTTTTATTTGATTGTTATATAATACATCATTTAAATAGAATGTCTCTGTATATATTTAATTTACTCTCGCATAATTGTTGAATTTTATATATGATATTCTTATATTAAATTTTAAAAACATGAAAACACATTTGAAAAGTAAACGTGCGACGAAAAAGAATTTTTACGGTTTCATATTTTAATATGAGATTACGATTGTTCGGACAAAGTTATACATCGCTTGGAACATCCCATATAAATATATAAATATATAAATATATATATATATTATAAATAATAAGTCAATAATGGTAGAATTTATTCATCGCGAAAGTATGTATTATCGGTCACAATAAAAGTGTGTATGTTTGTTTATCCTTGAAATCGAATTTTCTTGCCCTCATATATTGAACACTCGGATAACCACCAAAGACTGCAAATCGAACGACAGCGAATTTGATTCCATGCATTCGGAAAATCAAATTTTCAGTAAAAACTACAGCCATTGCCTGTACGATTTCTTCAAACTGAAAATGATGAAATTTCAAAAGAGGAACATTCGTCCTTCGATGGGAGATTTTTTCAAATCCTCGACTATTTCGCCTTTATTTCTTTTATTCATTCTTCCGAAAAAAATAGAGAAAAAAAAAGACGTTTCAACCGATACAAAATAATGGGATTAAATTTTACACGTAAGATAGAAGAAGATCTGGAGTACGAAAGGGGGAGAAAAAAAAGAAGAAAGGTAATAAAAAAATTGGGATTCATCGAAAACAATTATTTGTCAAGAGTTAATCGAATTTAGACGAAGAGACGTGTCGGATTTAGTTTGATTCTCAACAGGATATAATCGAAAAGCCCTCGTCGCCGTCATTCGTTCAGTCGGATGGTCAGCACCATCGCCTACAGTACCATCGGTAAACCCCATGAGCCAGAGTCAATAGCTAATATTGCCCGATTAGGACGCGTCGTTCGGACGCAGAGAATACTCGTTCAAAATGAAACTCTCAGTCGCTTGTATTCTCTCTCTTTCTCTCTTTCTCTTTCTCTTTCTCTCTCTCTTTCTCTTTCTCTCTCTCTCTTTCTCTCACTCATTCATTCAATCTCACTCTCACTATCTCTTTCTCTCTCTCTCTCTTTCTCTCTCTCTCTCTCTCTCTCTCTCTCTCTCTCTCTCTCTCTCTCAGCTAACCCTATACATGTAGATATGTATATTTTCTATCCCTCGTCTCGTCTTTCTTCCCTCCCTCTTCTAGTAACTTTCAAAATCTTCTTCTCTTTCTCTTTCTCTTTCTATCTCTCAGTTACCCTTATATACGTAGATATGTATACTTCCTATCCCTCATCTCTTCTTTCTCCCTTTCCCTTCTAGTAACTTTCAGAATCTTCTCTCTCTCTCGCTCTCTTTCTCACTCACTCACTCACTATTTCTCTTTTCCTTTCCACCCTCTTAGTTGTGCCAGACACCGACATTATTCGAGCAACGTATACCTGTACCTCTTGGTCGCTGTTTATGCCCTACGTGATGCAGCCTTTATACCAGTAATTATTTATAAAGACCGTGGAACCATTTCGACCAAACTAATATTGTTTTACAGTTAATGGGACGTACTTTCGGACGCTTTCTGAATAAAATAGTACGAAGATATATGTATGTGTGCGCGTATTTTGCCAACATTTTCATCGATCCGATTTACTTTTTTTTTCTTTTCTCTCTCACTTCCTCCCTCTCTCTCTCTCTTCCTCTTTCTCTCTCTCTCTTCCTCTCTCTCTCTTCCTCTCTCTCTCTCTCTCTCTCTTCTTTTTCTTTTTTGTCTTTTAAATCACATATTTTCGCACTGTTATTTCAGATATTTTCGAAATATTTGTTTTTTATCGATAGAACATATTATTAATCGAGAAGAGCAATACAAAATTTCGTTTAATTAATTTATAAACACGAGTAGCACTTTATCTTAAAAACATTTTCCGCGTAACAAGAATAAACTTTACTATTTGCTTGTAATAAGAAAATATTGAAGGAAAAGAAATAATTCAACTTGTTTTATATAATTTCTTTACTTCCCACCTAAAGTTTATTTTTTGACTTTATAATCGAAAATAGGGAATATATAAGAGCATTTACTTCTCTCTCTCTCTCTCTTTTTCTCTCTCTCTCTCTCTTTTTCTCTCTCTCTCTCTTTTTCTCTCTCTCTCTCTCTCTCTCTCTCTCTCTCTCTCTGTATCTCTGTCTCTATCTTTTTCAATTAACTACAACATTTCCAATTATCGCATATATCGTAAATTAATTTCGAAAAGATCTCCAAAAAAAATCATTAAGAGTATAATGAAAATCACTCGGCATTCCTAATTCAATGTGCGGTTATATCAATGATGGTATTACGATAAGGAAGGCGAATAAAGAAAAAAAATTGAGTGAGATTGAGAGGGTAAAACGAAAGATGTGAATACATAGGAGAAGATTCGAATCGGCCAACGAACTGGATGGACTTCAAGATATACTCGACCGAATGACTACGTTGAGAGTCAGAGAAAAAAAGAGAGATAGAGAAAGACCATTGACGTTTAAAGCGGGTCGAATGAAAGCAGTACGATGAGCCTGAAATATCGACGCCAGGATAAAGTAGTCGGTCTCCGTCTATCTCACTCATTCTAGCAAAGTATTTCCGATTGTCCTTCGGCTCGTTATCTCCGTGCGATAAACCTTTTCCGTCATTTTCAAAACATTCCCGAATTAATCCCTTCGGAAGGATATGAAATATGCTAATCCTCTTGCCGTATCCCTCCTGCTTTGTTTGTATATTTACATCAGAGCCAGAGCAGAATTATTTTGCATATTTAAGGTAAGGATCGTTAGTTCATAAATATTTAATGGCGGGTATAATGTTTAAGATAAAGTAGTAGTCTATCACTCAGGTCTCGTTTAAATCACAAACATATCGGGAAATCCTTCAAACTGGACCCAGAAGTAGTACGTGCGGAAAAGCTTAACGAGTTATAACACTCAAATCACCATAAATACATTTTAGCATCGGACGTAAGAAGATTGCATTAAGAAATTTATGGATACTTTCTTAAGAAAAGAAAAAAAAACCAAAATAAAAATCAAAATAAAAAACAAAAGAAGAAAAAGCGGGATGAGAAAGAAAGAAGAATCTTCTTTCTGGCGTGAAACCCAATAACCATAAAACTTATTAGATATTTCTTTCTCGTGAAAACACGCGAACGTGGTGAAGCGCTAAAAGCTGCCATAATTTTCTGAATCCACCAACGTGAATAGGCGAATTATATATATATATATATATAACGTCATATATATATATATATATAACGTTCTCTTTTAAAAGTACAAATAAATTTTTAATCGAGAATAACAAGGATAAAAAAATAATAAATATATTTGATTTATAAGACTTACCAATAGTTCGCAGTGATAGACATAGCGAAGTAGGGAAAATTTGAGGAAACTCCACAAAGGCTCATCGTCGTTCTCGTCGTCTTCTTCGTCGTCGTCCTTGTTATATCCTAGATCGAGTAGGACGAAGCCAAAGTTGCATACATTGATCGTCCGCCTTCATAGAAGCATAAACAGTACGCAACCGTAAGTTCACTGTTGATCATGGGTGATCACCGATCGGTCGATCAGTCGATCGCCTGCCTCGTCGTATCTCGCTGTCGACATATCTTGCCCTTCGCAATCGGTCTATACCTTCCATCCGAAGTCGTTGCTGGAGGTCCTCTTCCTCGCGAGTCTCACGATAACCGGTTTTGCCAGAGCATTCTCGAATTCGCGATCGTGAATTCCACGAAATTCTGTTGGAGCTTCCGACCAACGAAGTTGCCGAAGCCAAAAGACAAAGACGAAAAAAAAGGCGAAAGGCAAAAGAGAAAGATGGATAGATATAGAGAGAGGAAAAGAGAGAGAGAGAGAGAGAGAGAGAGAAGGGAACGAGAGAAAGAGATAAAAGCAAATAGATAGTCTAGGAAGAAAACACTCTACGAGCCGAATAACACGGATAGCACGAGTAACACGTGCGAACATTCGCGCACGCAGCACGCCGTGACACTACGTACTATATTACTCACACTTCACGATATTTTACGCATACCCGGTACCAAAATAATACGGACGGTCGGTCGGTCTGTGCAACGTGCCTGATATATGTATGTCGCCACGTGGCGAAGAAGAAGCGCGCGAATAATACGGACACAACCTAACAACCTTGTCTTTACCTTACATTCTCAATAATTCTTCATCTTCTTCTTTTTCAATATAGACGACCGATCCCCTACGACATTGAAACTCCATAGTTGACACTGCTTGCAATTAATCTAATTTAACCTAGACTATCTATTATCCTGCAGTAAGTATTTAATTTCTCAATACAATAACTAATTTTCGAAAAATTTTCGAAAAATTTTGCATCTTCGGACGATGATCAAATTAAAGGCAGTAGTCCTTCACCTTTGATAGGTCCATAAAAAAAAAATAAAATATCCAGACTAACGATTAAATTATTATAATACAACTCATGTACTATGTATTTATATATATATATAATATATTTATATATATATCTATATATATATATCAGTCAGTATATCAGGAGAAAACACCTTGACGATGGCACGTTGCACAGTGCAGTGAGGATCGTGATTTCGCGGGCTCCTACTCCGGAACGTTCGTAAGAGCGCAAAAGCAGCACGGGATGCGCGCGTCCCGGCGGCTGCGCGTGCACTGCCCGCGCGCGGTTCTCCTTTGGATCTCTGTTCTTCCCCTCTCCCTTCCCTTATACTTCTTCCTCGCTCTCTCATCTTCCACAGAAACCAAACGCGTATATATGGGACCCCATGTACACGACTCTTCCTCTTCCTTCCTCCTTTTACTGGTCTCTCTCTCTCTCTCTTTCTCTCTTTCTCTCTTTTTCTATCTCTCTTTCTCTCTCTCGTTCTCTCTTTCTTTCTCTTTTTCTGTCTCTTTCATTCTCTCTCTTTTTCGCTCGAAATACCCCATGTGCGCCAAGCGTATACACGCGACACACCACCGACTCCCTTTTGCCCTTTCTCTTCGCACCGCGTAAACGTCACTTTCAAGATTACCAAGAGATAATCGTCGAGATCTGAACGTCGACGTATAATCGGAGATCTTGTAACTACGATTAGTTTGTGAAACATCGAACATCTGTTTTTACTTTGAAAAAAAAAAAACTTACTTTTTTCTACCACCTCACGTTATTATCCTCTCACGAAGATATTTCTATCGAGATATTTATGATAATGTTTGAAGCTAAATACCGCGTAAAACCTTTAACATGGAGAAATATATTTTTCTATTTTTATTATAGCGTATCTAGTATATTTAAATGTTCCGGAAGTAATGAAAATTATTTTTTGCAAAAATTTCGTTTAAATATCATCTTAAACAAAGGATATAAGAGAGTATTAAAATCTTTTTTCGTCCTTTTTTGATTAAAATTAAAGATACTTTATAAATGATTAACTACTTCTTGTACTTGATACAAATGCACATAAAATAATAGATAATCTTCTAACAAAACTTTGTATTATAGTTATTCCGTATTTTCTTCGAAAAAATCGAAAGAAACTTCGATACTTTTCTCTTGTTCGCTAATTCTATCTCAAGTACGTTCGCTCGAACAATATCATCATTCGGGACGCAGAGAAACAATCAAAGTAAATACTCGATAATCTTTTGATTCTACTTTTATAAAAGTAGAATCTCTTAGATAAAAATCAAAAAGTTATTTTCAACTGATACACTATATTATATTATTCCTATATCCCAAACTTATTCTATTTGCCGCGTTTATTGAATAATAGAAAATAATAAGAAAAGAAAAATAATCGAGATAATGGGAAAATCTGCAAAAGTATTAATTAGTTTTAATTAGTATCAGTTTACCTAAATATACTTTATATGAATATATTTAAAATTACTTGGACTATTTTAATCAAGATAAATACGTACCTAAATATTTAGAAAGCATAATTTTCACGAGATTCTTGGTAGATGATCCTTTCTTTTTTCCTCTTTCGTACGGAACGTTAATATCAAAACGCGTAGGTATGCATGTACAATTATCTCGTGACTTCTCCATTGAACGATACACAGGACGGAGTCTGCAAGGGTGTCTCTCCCTGCTTACAGCTTCCTATGAACAAACACAACACATACAGTACTTTATAAAACATCTCGTTCGAGACTACGTCACCCTCGAAAGAAAAAAAAAGAAAAAGAAAAAAAAAAGAAAAGAAAATGCTCGTTGGAATATTACTATATGGATATATTTAAATATAAAAACATCACAAACGATCTCACATTAATATGCACATTCGCACAATCTGATATTAAAGATGCGCTCGCATAAACACCTTTGTATGTTAATACGTATAGACTCACAAAGAAATTAATTTTTCACGGATCAATATACTAATCTAATTAAATTCATAACTTTTTGTATATAAAAAGATAAATATTTCATCGTCGTCATTATTTTAATATTAGATTGTAACACTTATCAAAAAGCATAGGTACTTTTAGTTTTTTAAGTGTTACAAAAAAGAAATCTTACGTATTAAACAATTGAAATAATTTCTATAAAAATTAAAATGCAATGTCTGCAAAAATCATTAATGATCTCTATGCAATTATAACGTTAACAAAATTACATATCGTATAATACATTAATATAAATAAAAAAAAAATAACTACGAGCAAAAAAATCATTGGAATTGAATTGTCATTCAATGCTTTAACGTTGAATTCAAATCGATTCTATATATCACGTTTACCTCCTAGCACCTTTCTTCTTTCTACAACCACATCTCGCTCTGTTCACCGCATCTATTGTTTTGCTTCTCTCCTGTTCCAACTGTGCGAACGGGTATATATATACCCGTATATATATAGATATATATAATGGATATATACATACCCATATATATATATATATATATATATATATATATATGTATATATGCACCCATTATATATATATATATAAATATATATATATATATATATATATATAACTACACGGATCCTAACCATTTATTTCCCTCTCCACCGCTTACCTCTTTCTATCTAACCCATATAAGACACGATACACACGTATATAACATAATTAACGGACATTCTATCGTATTGTCTCTATACCATTTACGTTCACATCGTAATAAATAAAATAACAGAATCTTTCTTCATCGAAATAACGAAAATAAATAAAAAAAAAAAAAAATTATGGCCGAAATATTGGTCGATGATAGATAAAACAAAAAAAGAAAAAAAAGAGGAAAATAAAATCACGTCTCACGAAATTCGTACAGGTTTCGTATCGTATTTGTATCATTATCGTATTTGTATCATTATCGTAACATCCAATATCTCATTAACTTGAAATTTACGTCACTCATTGTTGGATAATGAAAAAGCGATTTCCTTGAGCCCCTTAAATGCTACGTTACACCGATGTCTGCTCTTCGAAAAAAAAAATTACGCATGTAATGAGAAAGGGGCAACTTGCACGTTGGTTACGGTGACTAATGAAACGTATCGAAACAAATGAATAACGCGTTCGCACAACGAACAACTTTTTTGAAGATCAAACGTAATAACGAGCTTCGTTATATTCGCAGTACGATTCTTTAATGGTCATTTACGACCAGGGCCGTCCGCAAGAAAGGGCATAGGCAAGGAGCCAGAGTTCTTCCCACCACACAGTGAGAAAACTTTAATACTAAAAAATGTACAAATACCAAAATATACGTTTCAATCAATCCAAGTGACATTTTATGCCATGTCCCACTACCCACCTCTTGAAAAAAATCCTACGAACGCCCTTGCCAATCACTTTCGAATCATTCGAATTTGATCGGTTGAATTTTGATCTTTCGTCGTTTGGCCAATATTAATAAAAAATTTTATTTCTGAAAATGAATTGATTTATTAAATAATACTTACGTGCTTTCCTTTAGTAATCGGCTTTCTTTCAAAGATTTAATTTCATCGATACCTCGTCACGAGACGTTATTTTCTGAAATTTTCTCGTGAACACCAAAAGCCTAACGTGCTCATTCACGCGAACTTAAAATGGCTACAATTATTATATTCAACCAATGAGATAATACCATTGATTAATACGCTTTGTGACTTTAAATTGGTCAGTGTCGAGATGCGAACCAATCATATTGTTTCTTTAAATATATGTATTTCGTATTAACGAACGTTGTTATTAAGCGCGTACTTTACATATATATATGTATATAAAAATAATTACCAATGGCATGCCTCTAAATAGATTGTTACACTTTAGTAATTGACGTTTAAATATCTATTATATTTTATGTAAATGAAATTAACATTGTAATTAAAATCTTATTTAAAAAGATACTTTATAATATTGTAATATTTGCACAATTTCATCGACTGAGTGCGTACTTTTAATGAGTATTCAATTTAAACTTTATGACTAAAGTAGTAATACCGTTGGTAATGCGAAACGCGAGCGTTTCATTAAGCAACAACGAAAAAGTTCACAGTTTCGATCGAAATAACTTGATCGTTTGAAGCGTGCATCGCAAAATATCTACTGATTGAACGAAACACATCAAAGCGCGCACTTTGAAATCTGCCTCTGGCAAAAATCGATCGAACAAAACATTTCGTTGGAACTGATATTTGTGAGTAACTTTCTTGATACATTTTGTTGATACGTATATATATACATATTTTTTTATGTATTACATAACATAATTATTTATAATAATGTACATATCTGCATTGCATAAAAAAAAATATATGTATAAATCTAAAAAAGTATATAAAAAAAATTATATGATGGAAAAGTTGTAACATTACTTATATATAATTATATTATATATTAATTATAACTTATATTTAAGGAATATTAAAAACTTCGGATATGAAGTAACAATTAATATATTCTGTGATGATAAAATAAAATAAATAAAATACATACATATATATATATATATATGTATGTAAATACCTGTAGATATACTTAAAAATGCATGATACTTCAAGGTTATATAGCTTCATAAAGGATTAATTTAATTTATTCTAATACGAAGCTTTTCTTTTAATTTTAATTTGTCGTTTTTAACAAATACACAAGGAAAGTACGAGAAAGAATGAAAGACGGACAATCCTGTGTGACAAGAATCCTCCTAACGTACATGATGCTTGCTTTTCTCAGTTTACACGGGTGCTCGAAAAAAAGCTGACTTCGTTCGTCGCATCTTCTTATCTTGCCTTGTGTTTCGTGTACGAAGCTAGCTGGTATTCGTCTTTCTCTGGTAAGTTGTAAATATATATATATATATATATATATATATATATATGCGTGTATGTATGTGTGTGTATATATACATAAACGTCTTGAACCAAAGATGTGTAGTGTGCAGTCATGGCACGTTTAAACGGGTTTCGTTACGGAAATTGTCTGGTCGATGTTGTCGCAAAACAATGTTCGGTTTTACTACAAGAGTTTTCGAAAAGAAACATTCTAAATACTAAGGGTAAAATATACAAAAATAAAGAAATAAATATTTACCAAAAAAAAGAACAAGTGTTTGGATACAGTTATACGTTA